GCAAGAAAGAGAGAGAGAGAGAGAGAGGTGAAAACTAAATTAGAAAACCCTTTTCACGGACTGATATACCCGCAGACTGGTCGAGGGAACAAAACACCGCTTGAGTGTTAGACACAATAAGTAGCACCGCTCAAGCAACCAAAAACACTGCTCAAGGCACAATGACCCTCTCCTAGAAGTTCAGACCTTCAAAAGACCACTTGAGTGCAATAAATACAGCTCGAGCAAAGATACCTCATTTCTAGTACTTTTGTATACTATAAAAGGCTGCTTGAGCGAACAGACAAAAATCTAGGCAACAACTCTTTTGAAAAGTTAACTCCAAACCTGTTTCAAACACAATCATAAGTCCCAAATAATCAAATTCAATTAGCAACACGATGAAAATGAGATAAATAATAGTTAAGAGCATGGATTCTCGAATTCAAAAGCAAGAAATAGGTCGGGTCTAAATCGGAACGTTATATATTCTATGTTAAAGTTTGTCATAAAACTTAAACATATCTTTTAGAAATAAAACAATATATATTTTTTGATAAAATCGGTCAAAAGACGGACCAACTTAGACAAAAATTAATCAATTAAAACTTTTAAATTTTATTTTATTTTAAAATTTAAACTATCTCAAACTGAAATATACACAACACTACAATATGAAATGGAAGCATATGCTTACTTTATATAAGTGAAACAATTTATTTTTTTCTTCTTTCCCGATTTGGGATTGTGTGAAATAAAAATTAATAATTGTTCGGGTGGGAAGTTTGTTTCGAATAAATAATATAAGTCATTTAATCTTTAATTATGTCAATCTTTAATATTTTTCGAATCAAACAAATCAAACCAATATACCTTGATAAAACTACTAAGATTGCGATTAAAACAATGAATCAGTCAAATTGAAAATAGTTCAACCTAATCAGTTAAGTCAAAAGACCAACAAACTTATATAAAAATTAATTAATTAAAACTTTTAAATATTATTTTAATTTTAAAATTTAATCTGTCTTGAATTCAAGCATGCATAACACTATAATATTAAATGATAGCATACGATTCATTTTATATAAGTGAAACAATTCACTTTTTCCTTCATTTTCCGATGTGAGATTATAAAATAAAAGTTAACAATTGTTTAGGCAGAAAATTTATTTCTAATCAAGTAGTTTTAGTCGTTCAATTTTCAATCAGATCAAGTTTTAGTTTATTTTAAATCAAACAAATTTAACCAATATATTTTAATAAAACCACTAAAATTGCAATTAAACAAATGAATCAGTCAAACCAAAAAATGATTCAGCTTAATTGGTTAGGTCAAAAAACCAACCAACTTATACAAAAAATTAATTGAGAGTATATTCACTTTATAATATTAAATGCGAGTATAACATTCACTTTATATAAGTGAAACAACTCATTTTTTTTATTTTTTTTTCGATGTGGAATTATCAAATAAATCCTAAACTAATTAGAGTTTTATTTTTATATGATTAAATGGAAGTTAACAAATGAAGATTTTCTTAATGATTTCAAATCAAGAAATTTAGTATAAGATATTAAAACTCTCACAAGGCTCCTCACTAAAACTTCTTTTTGCTTATATAATATATAGATAGATAGATATATTGATTGATTGATTTTGTTTTAAGTCACAATAAAAATTAATATAAAACACAAACCTACAACTCTATAACTTAAATAAATTATATATAAATTAAAATATATATATATCCACAACAAGAAGTATATATATATTAAAAAGTATATATATTTTCCTTCGTCCATATTTTTCTCCAATAAAATATTTTCATTTTTTTATGTATTGTTTTATTTTAAATTTTTAACTTTAAAATCTCCTTTATTATCTATAACTCTTCTCTCCTTTTATTTCAATTTTTTTTTTTTTTTTTGCTTAATCTCCTCCAATATCTTCATTTGCCTCCAATTTCTTATTTTTCATAATTTTCTTTCCTTTTTAAATTTTATCTACAATCTTATCACTATCTGCAACTTTATCTTTATCATATTTTTCAAATGATCTATTTTATATTTTATTTTATCTTTAATACGATAATTATCTTCAACTTCATTGATATCTGATAATAATCTCTAATTTTATTTCTATCTTATTTTTTAAATATTTCACATTTCAGTTATATATTCTAACATATCATCATTTTTTATTTTTATTTTTATTTTTCGTAGTGTTCTCATACTGGACACAAAATTTCGTTCAAACTTTACATTTAATATTCGAGTTAATAATGCCACAATCCGTCAGACAATTGAAGAACTTTAGAGTTAAATGAATTTTATTTTCTCTATGTGTGTGCCTATGTATATTTGGTGGAGGCATTTTTTTAAAAAAAAAATTTAAAGGGGTTTCTGAACATTTTTACATTATTTGTATTAGTAATCAATTTTTTTTTTTAGTTAGACAGTTATAGAATTTTAGAGTTTTATGAGTTTATTTTCTCTATGTGCGCCTATCACTACAAGAATTCGCACTTTTGCCGACTAAAAATTTAGTCGGCAAAAGTTATCTGCGACTAATTTTTTTGGTCGCCACTTTAGTCGCCAATTGAGGGTCGCGGAAAGTAATTAGCGACTAAAAAATTTTTTAGTCGCGAAAAAGTTATATTTACCGACTAAATTTTTGGTCGATAAATATATAATTACTGCGACTAATCCATTTAGTAGCTAAAACACTTTAGTCGTGAAAAGTCATATTTTTCCGACCAAACATGTTAGTCGCCAATTCGATCAAATAGTTTGGTCGGCAATTGTCGTCCATTTCCACGACCAACTAATTTGGTCGCCAATTGTCACATTCCGCGACCAAAAAATTTGGTTGGCAATGCATTCCACGACCAAAAGATTGGTCGGCAATATTAATATTCAAGAAATTACACTTTTGCCGACTAAAAATTTGGTTGGCAAAAGTCCATTTTTAGTCGGCAAAAGTCATTCACAACCAATTTTTTTGGTCGCCACTTTGGTGGCCAATTGAGGGTCGGCAAAAGTAATTGGCGACCAAAACTTTTGTTAGTCGGGAAAAAGTTAGATTTGCCGACTAAATTTTTGGTCGCTAAGTGTATCATTACCGCGACTAATTCATTTAGTCGCTAAAACACTTTGGTCGCGAAAAGTGATATTTTCCCGCCCAAATATGTTTGTCGCCAAAAGCAAAAAATCGACAACCAACTATTTTCGTCACCAAAAGTTGAGGAATCGCCAACTAATAATTTAGTTGCCAAAAGGTAAGGAATTGCTGACCAATGATTTTAGTCGCCAAAACTTTTCTCAACCAAATATTTTGTCGCCAAAAGACATTAAACAATCAGCGACTAATTAGTTAGTAGCCAAATCTCTTTTTTTTTTCTTTTTTTTTTTTTTTTTTTAAAAAAAAAATTTTTTTTTTAAAACAAAAAAAAAAAAAAAAAAAAAAAAAAAAAAAAAAAAAAAATAAATTAAGAATAGTACACTTCATACAAGCAATTTTAGCATAAAAATTTGTATGAATTTGGGTAAATTATGATTGTACAATCGAAGGCTACCAAAGAGCAATTAACAAATTTTAAATATAGCCATCAAAAGGAGATACATGAATAGATATAACACATGAAAGCTTAGCCAACATCATGAGTATTATTCATGAACCAAAAATGAAAAGGGGGGCAAATCCAATGTATGTTTTTGGTCAATCTGTTTAAGCTTCAAATTTCATGAAGGAATATATATGGTTTTGAAGCATTAGCCTTGTGCTTGATCGTTTTTGGAAGTCACCTACAAATAAAATAAGAAAAGTTAGAATCTAGAAAAACATCCAAAATGAAGTATTCTCATAAAAAAATATTAACCATATGGCAAAAAGCTTATATGATTACATTACAAACATTTGATGATGACTATACCACAATTAAGTATTGGCATACCTAAACAATGAGACAAAGCAGCTCAGCAAGTCTCGCCAAGGTAATCCTTCAATAATACTTTGAGACAACAAGGATGTTCTGCAAGAAACAGTAATGTCTTGTAGATGAACCATCGCAGCAAATAATTGAAATATATAATTGAACATGAGTGAAAGGTTGCATGTTCTATTACTCTCTGTCTCAAATCTTTAGCTGCTTTTGTTTCTCTCTCCTTTTGCTAAGCCCATTTACAACAAGAAATTATATGCTTCAAGTGTCCTTGATATCTTGTATTTACTTCAAATTTTTATTTTTTTTAATTTTTCTTTTCAAATATTTTTAATCCATTTCAAATACACTTGAGATTCTCAGTCTAACCACCACTATTTATATATACACACACCATAGATACAACAAATACCTATGGATGCCAAGGTAAAGAGGAGCAATATGATTACCATAAATGGAAATGTTAAGGGAAGGGAATAACCTATTATGACATGGGATGTGGTAGTAAAAAAAGGATAAAAATTTAATTAATTTAATTGAAGATATAGCCTTTGACAGAGTAGGACGGTGACAAAAGATTCATGTAGCTGACTCTACTTGATTGGAACCCCAGGCTTAGTTTAGTTTTACACACCAAATTGATCCATTTAGAAAACTTATTCTGATATCTTCAGTTGTCAGATATATCATTTTAACCCTGTCCATGATTTATACATTTGAATGGAGTAGTGCGGTCTAATTGATATGAACAATAAGTGCATTCAAATGCTAATGCAAAGTGTAACCATTCCACTGGGACACTGATCTGTTAATAGAGTTCAAATTAAAACAAAATTAAAAATCTGTTTCTGATGGATAAACAACGGAGACAATCTAACCTGATTATTTGAAGCCTGTTCATGTATCTGATGTGGCTGTATATTCAAATCCATCATATTTGTCTTCGTGTTGGCATGCCCATCGGCATTGGCATTCGTAGCTGACTCTGGAACCCTGTGATTCTGCTAGTTCTCTCCCATCGTCAATCCAAGTTGCTGATTCTTTCCCCTCTTGTTCTCAGTTGGATCCTCCATACGACCAGGCTTATCCTCGGGAAACTAAAGATCAAACCGAGGGAAGAAAAAATTGTAAGAGTCTTAACATAACATTCAGAAGAATAAATATGATCCAGTTCTATCCCACAGAAACAAACCTCAATTCTCTGCCTCAATACAAGATATCTTTCATGGGTTCTTTTACCTCCTACATGAACAATCATATCGCACTGCAAACAAAGGGAGCTTCCATCCACCTCACAGTAAAAGAAAGCTGCACATGCACAATTCAGAGAGAGAAACATAAGTTTAAACCCTTTTGACCCTCTTACAAAAACAGAAAGCATATTTGACATTATGAAAATCTGCATACCAGGTGCATTTTCACATATGTCAGGGTCACCCCCAAACATTAATAGAGTCACCCCCAAACATAAACTTTGGTTCTATTTAAACAGATAACTAGACCACCAACATTTGGGCAACAAACAAGAGAAAGCATCAATCAATTTCAATTTTCAACAACTAATGTACCATACCCATGATAAGTAATTGGAAGTTAATATTTTGCAATGAATAAACCAGTTGACTCAGTCAATTCCATATTCAGATGGTATTTTCTTATTTACAATCAGTTTCCGGATCTTAAAAGCCCAACTCAAGTTCAACCAATGGTAGACAAATAAGAATTACATTGTTAGGGGAAAAGTATTTACCTAAAGGGAAGGGGCCAATTAACACAGAATCATATATAGTCATCCCATCAAGTAAACTATACACCAAAGTCAAATTAGGAAAAAAATATTTTGTAACAAAATGTATGCAAGAAAATAGATAAATCCATTTGAAATAAATAGACCATAAAACTCAGAGAAAAATGGGGCCATTAAAGTTTCATTAAAACAATACCAATTCCTTGCCAAGCTCAATATCATCTTGGTAGCTGCTCTGCTTGCTTTGGCTCCTCCCACAGAAGACACAAATACTCTTGAACACACAAAGATATGTACACACATAGCTAATACACGCAAACTTAACTTAACAAGATATCATAACATTAAAAACAAAACTTAACTTACATCACATGTGCCGACCAGAATCTTATGGTTAGGGTCTCTTTTTATATAAATTATTGTTTTATTACCAATCATGATGCTCCACATAACCATCTAATCACTATTTATGCACAACAAATGAAAGTGAATTTACATAAAAGAAAAAAAGATTCATTGTAATTTCCATCAGCTAGGAATATGGCTATTCATGACATGAGTGATGTTGAGCAGGAAAACAAAATTTACATGTGGCTTCCTAATCAGCTCCATGTGATCAAGGTGGCCCCCAAGTGTATCACCTGGCATGAGCAATGCACAAACATTTTTTACTAAATAATTAGGCTTGTTGAGTTTATGAGCTCTTTCCTTCTAACATCTCAATAACTAAATTGTCAGGAAAAAAAAATTAACTACACAAATACACAAATTCTCATAATCTACTTTAAAACCAAACACAACATTCAAAAGATAGCTATGACTGAAGAGTACCTAACCCGAAGTAATTCATTATTGCAGCTTTTGGGCAAAATTCATCCCTACCTGGCATTGCAGGTGCTACCATCTTTTTAGCCAATTGGCAAAGAGCATCGGGGATCTTGTTGTGTGGAAGAGATACATTGTAATTCCGCTGTACAAACATGTAAGAAAGTTATTACTGACGAGTGTATCACACAGAACTACAATGAAACAATGTTCAAAATAAATTGATGACCAGTGTTCATGCTAATTAAACAAAGATGTGCAATATGACATATGTACTTGAATTGTAATTCAAGCCAATTGATGAAAAAACTTACACGGGACACAGGTCAAAACATATAGTTGGTGCAAATATCTTATGAAAGTTCAATAGACATCAAATGATATAGAAATTCACAGTGGTGACCTCATAGCTTGAAGCAATACCAATCATGGTCCAAATGGGTTGCTAGTATTGAAAGAAATAAAGGCCATAGTACTCACTTTGAGATAAAAACTGAAAAAGAACAATATGAAATTAGCAATCACCTTGGACCAGTCAAATTGCAGTCCAAGAGTACTCCACCATAAGTTCCGCAGCAAACCAGATGCTGGTATCGATTTCAATATATTTCCTCTTGATGATACACTAGGTTCCTCACAAAATTTCCATCTAGGACCATCAACATGACTGACAAAAGAATTAAACTCAGAACCCTCATCTGTGTTGGAACTATCCTCAACTAAAATTTTTCTTTCTTTAGCTGCAATAAATAAGTCACTTATAGCCCCGTAAATTGCATTATAACAGAAATAACTTTTCTTTCCGTCACTCTTCAATTACAAATATTCTTCCCCATCCTAAGCTCCTTACAAATCCATCGCCATTCACATTCTTCACCACTATGCACAACTATCAAGCCCCAAAAATACCCTCATCTCCAGCACTAGCACAGACCGCGGTCCCTACTTAGTCAATCACTGGCTCAGGACCCGCCACCAGAGACTTCAGATGTTCTTTTTTATTTTATGTTATTCGCATTGGCATTTATAAAGCATGGAGTTTGATTCGAACCCTCTTTTTATGGACCCAACTATGAATCAACAAATAATTGATAGACTGATGAGGGATTTTGCACCAACAAATAATTGATAGACTGATGAGTTGATTAAATATAAATTTTCAACCTTGTAAGTAGAATTTAAAAAATTCTTCACCACAAAAGAATTATTATATACCTTTGTACAATCTACCACAGCCTTTTTATACTGTAGACGTCCCCGAACGCCCTGGGAGGACGAGTCCCCCCCGTTCTGTTTGTTTTTGGGCTCGCTACAGTTCGGACTCTTAAATTGCCACGGCTCTTAATCTGAACCAAAGAGTCCAAATCTGGCAAATCGTTTTGAGAAAACAGATTTTTAGAAAAGAAGTGCCAAACATGGACTGTTTTACCAGATACAGAGTCGCCACCTAAATATTTTTATGGGAGAATTATGGAAACCCTGACTCGGTGCCAAAGGCCACGTGTCCGTCATCACCAAAGTTGCCTCGGCTTGGGAGCTTGGGTACGATTGGGGAAGGTCAGCTATGAGTACCCCCTCTTGCTCGATTTGAAAATCGGCCTCTACTAACCGTGATATCTGTTTTTGAAAACGTTATGTTCTTATTCCAGTTATTAGCCTCGAATTACTATGTTATGCGCACAGCAAACAAGTATAGACCAAATTGCTTAAATTGGAACAAAACATTTCATGCTTGTTTTGAAAATGGTTTGCTACTCGCAAGTAGGCTGAAATGCAGGTTTTGCCACCCTCAAGTGGGCTTTAGAAAAGAGGATTTTGCCACTATCAAGTGGGCTTAAAACTCACAGGTTTAATGCATTATCCTAATTTAGTTAATTCAACCTCCATCCACAGGCATTCAAGCAGTTATATCACATAAGCAACTAGCCTCATGGTAATCATGCTATTGTGGCAACACTCACACACATGCGGTATGCTAAAGCATAAATGCTTACCTAGTACTCCGAGCCAAAACAAAAGCTAGTTAGTAATCATTGCATGATCCTAGCTCATGTTAAAATGGCTAATGCAAAACATATAAGATGCAACTACAATACGCTCGGCTATTCTAAGATGGCATGTGATGATGCTACAACTAACATGTATTCAACTTCAGAATTGAAATACAAATGCAGTTAGTATGATGCGCTGAGCCCGGTGCATGTAAGACAAATGTATGGATGCACGCATGCTATCATACTGTATGCTAATTGAAACATGCCCTAGGCAAACCATCGAAAGCTGGAAAATAAAAGGGAAGAAAAACGTGGGGTTGGGGAGACATACACCACACTCACGCACACTTATTACACAATTGCCCTCACTCGGAGGGTCCGAATAAATATTACAGTCCGAATAAATAATACTAAATTAATTATTATTGAATTTCTAATTAATTAACAAATTAAATACAGAAAGAAGGTGGCCATAGCCCTGCCTCGGGATGCGTGAATGATGCATGCTTGACTCGTCTTGCCCGAAAATCCGTACCATGCCACTGTTGCCTCTGTTTACACTGCCTTGCCCCTTTGAGGATCACATAAATTTTCAGAACTACTTTGAATCACTCCCTGAGTGCTCTGGAGTGTCATCGGCCAGAACAAAATGCCACCGGCCATGGGAATGGGATTATCGGCCAAATCTAATGCTCTCGGCCAAACATATTTTGCCGGTCGGCACCAAAAACTGCCGGCCGGCCAATTCTTCCTACTGAAACCTGTAGTTGACAGCAGCAGAGGGCAAGCAATGTATGGCATGGAATTTTCAAACAAATATGTGCATGGCCACACTCCCTATCATGCAATGGACTCAAGGGAGCATGGCCCTCGACCCTCGGGCCATCAATTATGCATGATGGCCTAATAAGCCATGTTTGCAACTTGATGTAAAAATGCATGCAAACAAAACACATGAATGCCAACACCCTATCATGTATGATCAAGTGTGTTGGCGACAAAGGGGATTAGCTCATTTCATCACTTTGAGTATGAAATGGACTAATCCGTCTTGTGTTCGATATAACGTCCGAGCGAACACCTGACACATGCAATGCCAACTCATGTTATGCTTATCTTGCCATTTTACTTGGTCAATTTTATTTACTCAGTTTAGCATTACCCATCCATCCTTTAATTGATTAAGTCCAAATGAGAGTCCTTTAATGGGAAATAGGGCCTAAGCCTCAAGTGCCTTGAGCATTAAGAAGACCTCATGCCGTTGGCTAGTAGAAATCCTCAAGAGGGTTAAAGCCATTAAGCATGAACGTCTCAACTTCATGCTCAAACCAACAAGAGGCTCAAGGCTACTTTCAAAGCAATAAAAGTGAAACATGTAAGGAAATGGCATGAATGGCATGAAGTATGCTCTGAAATTGTGTGCAAGACACTACTACAACATGCAAATGGTTCAAGCACTCATGCTCAAATGGACCAATCGACTAGGCATGCAAGAGCATTACACCGTAACCACACAAGGCAAGCCTTAAACAACAAAATCAACTCAAAACAGAGTTATGCAGCCTCAAAATAGTAGCTAAAGTGCATGGAACAAAGGCCAAAACAAGTCAATGAAGCATGCTCACGCAAGAGGCCAATGAAGCACATAAACCATAGCTGTATGGTACGATGCATGCAGGTCTCAACCACCACAAAACAGTGTTTCTACATGCCAAAACAGTGCTGAAAATGCTATGGACATGCACCAAAACAAAGCGATATAGTACGCCAACTCATTGGCCTCTTGAAGCACATGAACTACAACTATGTAATGTAATGCATGAGAGTTGTATCCAGCTCAAAACAGAGTTTCTATATGTCAAATATGAGCTAAAAA